AGCTATTGCTTCCCCCCAGCTTTTTTTTTTTTTTTCTCTTGCTTTCCTTCACCTGCCAATTACAGGAAAGGGCTTTCCATCCTCAGAGACTTGAACTCACTTACTAATAAGAAGGTACTTCAAAAAGTTGTAGAAAACTGGGATTAAAAGATCAATAAACTGGGAATGGGGGAAGGAGAAGGCATTGTGGCACAGCTGGCATTACTTCAGATACTGCCATCCAATTTTGGAGTGCTGGGGTCAAATTCTACTTGTGCAATGTACCAGTACTGCTCATCCTGGGAAGCTGAAGTTCAAGTACCCGGGTCCTAACCACAACAGACATGGAGACTCATTTGGAACTCCCGGCTCCTGATTTCCCAGGGGTCAGCTTCAGCTGTTGGGGACCACTGGGAAGTAGTCAGCAGATGGAAAATTCTCTCTCTCAATCTCTCTGTCTCTCTTTCTCTCCCACACACACAAACACACACACAATCATTCTGATTTTAACATAAATAAAAACACAGGCCAGCACTGTGGCATAGTGGGTTAATCCATGGCCTCCAAGGCTGGCATCCAAAATAAATGCTGGTTGGAGTCCCAGCTGTTCAGCTTTGGATCCAGCTTCCTGCTAATGTGCCTAGGAAAGTACTGGAAGATAACCAAAATAGTTGGGTCCCTGTTACCTCTGTGGGAAACCCAGATGAAGTTACAGGCTCTTGGCTTTGGCATGGCCTAGCCCAAAGAAGTGTTGGTCATTTGGGAAGTGAATTAGCAGATGGAAAATCTTACAGACCCCTTCCTCCAGGTCTGTAACTCTGTCTTTTAAATAAATAAATCTTTAATAAATGCAAGTAAACTTTTTTTTCTTATTCTTTTACAAGTAAACTTTAAAAGAAAAATCAGCTAATTTTGGTGTAGAAAATTTCTGAAACTCATACATAGCATTTTCATACACTATTTTTTAAGATTTATTTTATTTTTATTGGAAAGTCAATAAGGAGAGACAGAGAAGATCTTCTGTCCACTGATTCACTCCCCAAGTATCTGTAATGGAAGGAGCTGAACCAATCCAAAGCCAGGAGCCAGGAGTGTCTTCTGGATCTCCCACGCTGGTGCAAAGCTTTGGGCCATCCTTGACTGCTTTCCCAACAAGCAGGGAGCTGGCTGGGCAGCAGGGTTGTCGGGATTAGAACAGGCGCCCATATGGGATCCTGGTGCGTGCAACGTGAGGACTTTAGCTGTTAGGCTACTGTGCCGGGCCCCATTATACACATTTTTCATGAATTTTTTAAAAGACCTCTGGTATGCATAGATAAGCAGAGAATAAGTACTTATAATAAATTATAGAAGCAGCTTTAATCCTAGGTTTGAAAAGAAACTGATGGGATTGCACATCTCATGTGAAAATGAAAGTACCGATTTCTGGATCAGCTGAAAGCTTGTCAGGAAGACACCTGGAATCTATTTTAAGAACCACCAATGTGGTGCAAGCTTTTCTGCTCATCTTGACCACAGGCAAAACATTTTCATCCATTTCCCTAAAAGCACTTCAGTATTATCTCCAACAGAGATTGATTTTTAAAAATCAGATGCATTTTGTGACTCAGAGTAGTTGATGCAACTCAGTTCAGTGGAGATCTGGATCTTTCTTCATCTCTCAGTATATGCCTAGTGCTTAACTTTCTGAGGTGCAGCCCTCAGCCTTTCCACCATCTTGGGTAACTTCCTTAGCCTCCAGCTCTGGCTTTTTTCCTCAAACTTAGTCTCCTAGTACCTTCAGAATATTTCTGTTTGGAAAGCTCTGTATCAGATTACTGTACATTCCACAAATGCATTCGTAAGTTCATTAACCTTGTCTGAAGCCAGTCTCTCTAGAAGGTGGGGCAAGTGAGGGATGCCCTCACCCCATTTCTGAATATGCAGGATTGAGTCTCAGCTCCACTTCCAATCCAGCTTCCTGCTAACATGAGCCTATAAGGCTGCAGATAATGGTGCAAGACTTGGACCCCTGCAAGTTGCATGGGAGCCTGGTGTAAGTTTCTGGTTTCCGACTTCAGCCTGGCCTAGCCTGGCCTTTTGCAGGCATTTGGGAAGTGAACCAGAACATCTCTCTCTGCTTTTCAAATAAAAACATAAAATTAAAAAACCTAGAGGTTGCTTTTGATGTCTTTCTTACTTGTAGCTGCCATATATAATATATAATCTGAAAGCAGACATCTTTGAATGCCTTTTAAAATGTAAATCAAATTCCTTTTTAGTTCCATTCCCATCAATTCAATTTATTTACCCACTCTGCATCTCTCTGCCCCCCCCCAGTGCGTGCGTGTGTGTGCACACACACACACACACACACACACACACACACAATTTTATAAGGCAGGTAGGTAAGGAGCCTTTTCCCCTAAACCTATTTTTACATCTGCTACTGATACAAATAAAGTCAGTTAAAACTATGAAACACTACAGGGATACTTAAAGTCTAGCAAACAGAAAAGAGCTCAGCCAAAACTAAGGGTATCTGGGACATCTTGGAAGTGTCAGAGCTTTACTTTTTGTGAATTTCCGCCAAAAGAAATGCTAAGATAAGAAATAATACCTGTTTCTGGGAATTTTGTTGTGGCATGACTTAAAGAAAACAGAAACATGTTTTGAGCCTTTATTATGGCCTGCTTGTACATTTTAAAAGCTCATAAGATGCACATTACTCACTCCATTTTTCCAAATAAAGAACTGAGATTCAAAAAAATTTGGCACACAATTGGGTGGCCACACAGCTGGCCAATAGCACTTTAACTATCAAATCCAGCTCTCTAATGCTCAGTTCTGTTGCATCACAATACAATTTACCAAGTGCTACAGACATTCTAATTCAAAATAAATGCTGATATTATTTTGTTTGCTTCACTTACAATAGTTTTATAAACAGAAATTAGCATAAACCACTAATTCAACGAGTTTGGAAATCTAGTTTCAGTAGGGTAATAAAATAGAAGGGTTTCACTGGCATTTCTTTGTATTTTCCAGCTTAAATTCAATGGGAAAGAGTCATTCATTTAGAATGTACAATTAGTGTTAACACTTCAGATGTCCAATGCAAAAGGGACTCTGGTTAACATTTATAAAGTGGAAGAGGCCCAAGTAATTTTGCCAAAAGGAGGAATATGGAAATTCTGCCCACAGCAGAACAAAGGACATTGATTTGTCAAAACAAAGAACAGCAAAGTGAGGGAAGGCAATTTGTCCAGCCCTTGTTATGCTGTTTTATGACGATTTTCCAGTTGCTGGTTTCCTATTCATATTAACGAAGAAAAAGATTAAACCCAAAAAGTTAACATTTTGCAAATGCATATTATCCTTTAGTGGAAGCGAAAACATTCTAAACAGGTTATACTGTTCAAGTCCAAACCAGGACTCCAATCTCCAATCTGTTCGTTACCACACCGGAACTGCTCATTCCGGTTCCACCACAGGAATCACCAGGATCCAATGCTGAGTATTCAACTTCGGCACAACTTTAAAGTTTTAATGCTAATGGCAATCAAATTTAAATGTAACTGCTCCAGGATTATTACTGCCCCGAACCAATCAATATTTTTATGCTATTACACAAGAGCATTTTTGGCTTCAATATCAGTTTTTAGTGAAGGAGCAACATCTGCAAACAGGGAAACAGCGCCAGTCATTAGAATCATGGCAAGTTTAAGTTCAAATCTGCCAACAGAAGGTCTTGTAAACACAGCCACGAAATAGCGCCCAGGGCGCTCTCTGTCTAAACAGTGTGTGGGCTGCACATTTTTCTTCCAGGCCTGCTAATGGACCTAGGAGAGAGCTGCTTCTTGGGGTCCTACGGTATGGGTGTCAGGGATGACAGAAACAACGCGTGCATTTCCGTTGATAACATGCTGCTTTTCTCCTGCTGAGCTCAAAGCCAGCAGCAGTTACTGTAGGTGAACCCAAACTTTCATCATCCTACAGTCAGACGCCCGTCCAGGGAAAGCATTAAGTGCGTTTTGTGCTCCTGATTTGTGAACACGCAGTCTTTCAGTCACACACTCCATCCATGTGTTCACAGAAACAAATTAAGCAAATAGAGAACACAGGTTCTCTTTTCCAGTTCTCACCACCAGTTACTGCAGTGCGCGTTTATGGGCATGTCCATTTTATGGAGAGCCCTAAGATTGTCCCTAGAAGATACCACGGCTTTGCACCAACTGGATTTTAAATAGTGACTGATTTGTAACCAGCAACTTGTACTCTACACTTTCTATCGCTTTGGGGAGGCGATTCGTACGTATGGCAGGTAGTCAGGAACCTTCTGTCATTTGTTGTACTTCAAACTGCTCCCCTCGACTCTATAATGTTCAAGCCCCCCAAGGCCCACCCTCACAGGTTGCCAAATGCCAACGAGCACAGAAAGCCGAACACTTCAGCTGGACGTGAGGATCTTTGCGAGCCCGGGTGTCTGCGGCGGGAAAAGAGATGCGGGGGTGGGGGAGAAAGCCAGTTTGCACAGATTCTTGTTTGCTCAAGAGACAAGTCTCCGTAGGTGTGGAGCACGTGCGCAGCTCCAGTACAACAAAACCGGCCGGGACTCCCGGGGGAGGCAGCACAGCTCGAGACCGACAGCAGCGGATGTGTGTGTGCCTGGCCGGAGCCCACAGGTTTCTTGCCCGGCTCTCGCCTCCCTGCCGCACCCGGGAGGGTGCCAGTTCTCCAGCCAAGGCCCTGGCTTTCGGCGGAATCCGCGCCTGGATCCACATCCCTGGAGTTCCGCACCTGCGCTTATGGAGCAATGTAGCTCCAGCAGGCTGCCTGCTCGCTGGTTTGCGTTTTCTTATCCGAAACCTTGTCATATCCCTGCTGGGCAAGTTTCCCGTGGCCCGCACCTGAGGGGTCCTAGATTCTCCCTGAAGCAGCTTCCCAAAGCGCTAGCTTCTTTTTGCAAGCCCTCGGCACTCCAACATCTTCCCCGCCCCCGCAAGGACTGTGCGCGTACACCCAGATCCCCTGGGACTCACACGTGGCCACAGCGAGTCCGGACAGGCTGGTGCAACACCTCAAGGCACACGGAGCAGTCGAAGGAAGTGAGGGGCAGCTCCGGGTCCCCCTTGCGCTCCAGGGCCCGTGAGGTAGCAGAGGAAGGAGCAGACTTGCCAGTTTCGCTGCTCAGCACGGAGCCCATCGCTGCGCCTCTCGCCCCGGCAGCTTCCAAGAGCTCAGTGCCTGCAGCCGGTTGTTTGTTGTCCTGCGGTGGAGGAAGGAAGTCCCGGCCCAGCTGTGACCGCCGCCTCCCAGCACGCACAGTTAGCACGGCTCAGAAGCAACCTCTGCTGCTTCGCCCAACCTCAGTCTAGAGTAGGCTGAGTGCGCGGCCCCGCTTCTGCAATGATTGTTCGGGAGCTGCCTGGCGTGGCGAGTGGAGGCGGAGGCAGCAGCCGCGCGGTGCACGCTGCAAGGTCTCGCGGGCCTGGGAGAATTGAAACCTGAAACCTCAACTGCAGAGCCGCGGACCTGGACTGGCAGGGAACCTTCCAGGCGAGCACACACAGCCTCCTCCTGCCTGGGCTTGCTCTCTGGGCAGTCCGAGAATACCTGATTGGCGGTCGGTCGTATCAGCCCTCAGAGTTGTAACCCTAATAAACTGCAAAGATGACCTGTGTCCAGTGGAGTCCTCCCAAGACTCTGTTAATTGTTGCTTAGGTCATCTAATCAGAATATCTTGCTATTAATGGAGAATAGTGGAAAGGGTTCCGGAGATACTAATTCAAATCTAGACTCTACTGCATGCCAGATTCTGGGATGGAATATGATTTTCTGTAAGCCAAGAGAATTCCAGTTCAGGATGTATTTTATAAAATCTTTTGAAATAATTACAGATTCATTTGTTGTTGTAAGGGGTATTGCATCATGTAATAGACATAAATATATAATTAATAAATATGCTTAAAATGCATAGCATGATAATGCACATGATTCATAATAATCCCATAAACTTCATCCAACTTCCTCCAGACTACTTTAAAGGAGAAAATCAGCAAATTAATCAATGAGGAAAAAAATGTCAGTGATAAGAGCTGGGAAGGAGATAAAACAGGGAGGACAGGGGAAGGTGAGAAGGTCTAAGGCTTTCTGCAGGAAGTGACATCTGATCAGCACCATGAATAATGAAGAGCAGTCAGCCCTTCGGAGACTGAGGGAGAGGGGTGGCACCTCTGGGAGCCACAGGTGAAGCAGGCACTGAGAGCAGAAGGAAGCAGCACATGCGGCTAGTCCTTTATTCCCTTTTTAAGAAGCAAAACACACTCTGTCAATCCTGCTTCTCCTTAACCTCCTGCCCTACATCCTGCAACAAGCCAGATCTCTCCATCAGATTCCCTACCTTTTATGTCTCCAGTTCACTGTGGGTTCTGAACCTACCATTATGCCTCCGTCTGTCCCCAGGCAGCATCATCCGTGTCATGTGGACCTTCATGTGGCTAATTCTAGCACATTCTTTTCAATCCTTTTCTTGTTGACGTTTCAACTCTGTCAGTGTTGGCCACTGTCTCCTCCTAGAAACACTCTGGCTTTCCATCAATCATTTGTGGAGTAAACCAGCAAATGGAAAATCTCTGTCTCTCAGTCTCTTTCTCTGTAGTTCTGACTTTTAAATAGATAAATCTTAATAGGTTTAAATATTTTTTTTGTAAAAGATTTATTTATTCTTATTGGAAAGTCAGATATACAGAGAGGAGGAGAGACAGAGAGGAAGATCTTCCATCCGATGATTCACTCCCTAAATGAGCGCAACAGCTGTTACTGCGCCGATCCAGAGCCAGGAGCCAGGAACCCATTCCAGGTATCCCACACGGGTGCAGGACCCCAAGGCCTTGGGCCATCCTTGACTGCTTTCCCAGGCCACAAACAGAGAGCTGGATGGGAAGTGGAGCTGCTGGGACTAGAACCATCTCCCACATGGGATCCCAGCATGTTCAAGGTGAGGACTTTAGCCGCTAGGCCACGTCGCTTGCTTAAATATTTCTTTAAGATATTTATTTACTTGAAGAACAGAGTCATAAACAGTGATCAGTGGGTCCAGCGCCGTGGCCTAGCGGCTAAAGTCCTCACCTTGAATGCACCAGGATCCCACATGGGCACCGGTTCTAATCCCTGCAGCTCTACTTCCCATCCAGCTCCTTGCCTGTGGCCTGGGAAAGAAGTCAAGGACAGCTAAAACCCTTGGTACTCTGTACCCACGTGGGAGACCTGGAAGAGCTCCAGGCTCCTGGCTTCGGATTAGCACAGCACCGGCCATTGTGCTCACTTGGCCAGTGAATCATCAGATGGAAGGTATTTGTCTCTCCTCTCTCTCTCTTTCTCTCTCTCTCTATGTGTATATATGTATATGTATATATAATATATACCTTACTTTGCAATAAAAATAAATGAATCTAAACAAACAAGCAAACAATGATCAGCAACAATAGTGATGCCCGCAGCAGCCAAGGCTGGGTAAGACTGCAGCCACGTGGGCAGCAGGTGCTCAAATGCTTGAGTTTTCACGTTCCCTCCTAGGGTACACATAAGCAGGAAGCTTGGATCCGAAGCAGAGGTGGGCCCCTAAGCCAGGCACCATAGTACAGAATGTAAATGTCCATGGTAGCATTTCTACCACCAGGCCCACCAGCCTCCCTCAATTTCTTGACTCCTCAATTTTCCCCTTTTTAGCCTTAACTCTTACTACTCAACACTCCACATTCCAAATACCATTTTCTGCCACTCACTTTGAAAACCTGAGCAAACCACATTCATCTCATACTATCTTCTTTCTTCTTAGCTTACTATACCTGATTTCCTACTTAACCAAAATTTTATATAGCTGTTATAAAGTAATACATATACTCATATTTATATGTATATTTAAGCAATAATCTCACAGAGTGAGTATTATTATTCCCACTTTAAGGTTCAGTTTATTTAAGCAAAAAGGCACAAAGTAAATACATTTAAAAAAACTAGATTTTTTTATTTTTAGTTTAAAATCTGTAAATTTGCATTGATGCATAGATGTAGCAATCAGAAGCATGAAGAGAATCTTAGATGAGAAAGAAGAGACTATTAAAAAATCAGGCCCGGTACGATAGCATAGTGGTTAAAGTCCTTGCCTTGCACACGCCTGGTATCCCATATGGTCACCGGTTCTAATTCCGACGGCCCTGCTTCCCATCAGCTCCCTGCTTCTGGCCTGGGAAAGCAGTCTAGGACAGCCCAAAGCCTTGGGACCCTGCACCTGCGTGGGAGACCCAGGAGGAGGTTCCTGGCTCCTGGATTCGGATTGGCTCAGCTCCAGCCATTGTGGTCACTGGGGGAGTGAACCATCAGACGGAAGATGTTCCTCTCTGTCTCTTCTCCTCTCTGTACATCTGCCTTTCAATAAAAAATAAATAAATCTCTCTCTTTTTTTAAAGATTTATTTATTTTTCACAAAGTCAGATATACAGAGAGGTAGAAAGACCCAGTCTTTGCTGTTGTGGGATCTGGGGTATGAACTATCCAACTGAAGCTTTCTCTCTGTCTCTCTGACTATGCCTCTTGGTGTTTCCCTGCATTTCAAGTAAATAAAATTAACAATTGGAAAGTTTTTTAAAGGAAAGATAATTGTATAATTGCCTTTGGAAAAAGCTTCTAAAACATTAAGTGAAAAAGTAACTGTATCTTTCATATGATCACATCTATACCTGCTGGTTATGTACATGCACGCACATATGTATGTATAGTCACAGATTTCTCAATAAATAATATATACACTGGTATATACATAAAATATACATCAATGTTTTTTTAAAAGATACACAAGAAATTAATAACCGGGATTGTCTCTCAGGAAGGGAGTTGCTTGTTAGCAAATTAGAGTGGAAAAAGAAAGGCTTTTATTATATGACCTGCACATTTTGCAATTTGTATTGTGTATATGCTCTGCCAAGTCAACTATAAAAAAGTAAAAGTTAATTATTTTAACACACATACAGCCTTTAATTCAACAATACCACTCCTTTGGCCAGTGTATGGATTGTCATGTGTACTAGAAGACAGAAGCAGAAATACTACTTTTTAAAAATATTTACTAATGAGCCTGATGTAATGGTTCAATTAGTTAATCTTCCACGTGCAAGCACTGCATCCCATATAGGCACCAGTTCATATCCTGGCTGCTCTACTTCCCATCCAGTTTCCTGTTTGTGGCCTGGACATCAGTAGAGGACGGTCCAAAGTGTTGGGAACCTGCACCCACATGGGAGACCCAGAGGAAGCTCCTGGGTCTTGGCTTCCGGCTCCGGGCTTTGATTGGCTCAGCTCCAGCTGTTGTGGCTACTTGTGGAGTAAACCAGTGGACAGAAGATGTTTCTCTCTGTGTCTCCTCTCTGTAAATCTGCCTTTCCAACAAAAATAAATAAATTTTTAAAAAAGTTTTCTAGAACCAAATGTTCCACTGTTCTGTAGGAATTAACTCACTCCTCATAATAATCTTCTGGAATAGGTAAATAACACTGGAGTCCTGATTTTCCATAGAAACAGGGAAATAGCTTAGAAACAATAACCTCCCTCAGGGGCTAGTGTTTTGCTTAGTGGTGAAGATACAAGTGTCCCAAACCGGAGAACCTGGGTTGGAGTCCAGACTCTACTCCCAGTTCAGCTTCCTGCTCATGCACACCCTGATTTCATTCATTCCATGCTCATTCAGTGTGAGCCTACTTTGGACCAAGTAGTTCGCTAGACATGGCAACACAATCAAGAACAAGCACCTATGGTGTAGGCAGCAGTCATGTCTGGTCTCCAAGCAACTCTTCATCTTTTTCTGTAATTAAGGAATCGTCTCTTCTTGTTTGGAGTATTTAACAGGTATCTTTTTATGTATGACTGTTGATCACATCTGATGTTCAGTGCCATTGAGATGCGCGAGTGTTTGCCACACATGTGGTGGTTCTGCCTCTCAGTTCTCTTCTCTCCATCATGGCCCTGCCCTGGCATGAGTGGGAGTTCCTGTCCCTGTGATCTGCAGCTTCCTTATGGCTGCCCTTCTTAAGCACAGCTGACACACTTCCTTTTATCTCCTGCAGCATCTCACCAATACTTCCTTCTTTTTTATTTAACTTATTCAGAGTGAGTTCTGATGCCTGCAACCTAATTGACATATTTATCTTGTCCTCAAGGTTTCTATGGCCTCATAGGTAAAATGGATAGGAAGATAGCACTTACATTTATAATTCAATATGAT